AAGCATAGGTAGAGGAAGTGTCTGATTCTTATTAAGTATACTAGCTCTAACTTCATTTCTACGACCTTCATAATCATTAGCACTAGATGTACCAGTATCTGGTGGGATTATGTCTGTCATTGTCAATCTTTGCTTTCTAGTGCTACTTCTTCCACAGAAAAACCCACCTGCTGTACCAACAATGCAAAGAATAAAAATTATGATATAGCCCATTACACCTCCAACAACTACACTTGAGCTCAATGAGGACTGGTTTGGTTGTGTTGTTGGCAGCATATTGAAACATGACGAACTCTTTTCAACTGTTATTGTTATTTTAGAAAGACATAATGAAAGGCTTGTGTTCATACTTGTTGTTATAATTGTGCTTGTGTAAACTGTTGATGTAGATCTAACAGTAACTGGTTGAGAAAATACACAAGCTTGTGAAAATATTGTAGAAGTAGGTGTTATGTAAACAGTTGAAACGAAAAACACCTCACTAGTCATGCAATCAACTGGTGTTGTTGATGCTGCATAAGACGAACTGGTTGTCTCTTTAGAGCTGTAAATAACAGAAACAACGGATGGCTTTATTGTTACGTTTATGCTTGATTTATAAATAATAAGTCTCCCCATAATAACAGCATCATTTTGGTTGTATACCAGAAAGAAAGGAAGATCAGACAGGTTAAAAGAAGCAAAGTAACTTCCACTGTAGTTGTAGAAATCAAAACGAGTGACATTTAAAACTGAACCTATAATAATTATTTTTAAGATTAAGAATTCTGCAAGAGTTTTATGTACCTGATAAACTTTCAACTTGCAACTGAACAGTTGAGGTCTCTCCTGATTGTATTACTCCATGATAGTTTGATACATTAAGAGTCAGTTCTGTACTATCAATATTCAATGATGTGTTACTAAAGCCAATCTGTATATCTGAAAAAAAATACTGAGTCTGAGAAATATTGTAATATATACTTACAATCATTGTCATTTATTTCTACAGTGCATTCTGTAATTGGAAAGACAATAACATCTTGTCCAATAGCCTCTAGTCTTACAGTAAAGTACTCAGTAGGCTCAGCATAGAGGTCATCATTAATAGCAATTGTTACATTATGTAGTGTCTCTCCATATCTAAATGTGACCACTGAACTTGTTGACAAATAATCATCTCCAACTATATTATAATGATAAGACTATAGAAATAATATGCATTTTATACCTTCAGCTGTGTCCAATTGTTGAGGAGTGACACTCACTCTCACTGTTACTTCTTCCTCAACATTTGCACTTCTGTTTAAGTGGATAATGGCATTATAGTTTCCTTCTGTAACGATAAACAAATCTTGAGTAAAACTAACTTGTGGTAAAGGTAATGGTGGATTTATTGGATCAAGACCCATGCCACCTGAGAATGCATATCCTCTGTATGTCGTCCATCCATATATTGAAAGAAAGATCCCCCCTGAAGCATTTGCATGGGTGAATGTATGAGTACCAGAAGTTGAAGCATACCAGCCATAGCCAGCAATTGTTCCATTAGGAAAATAAATAATTGAGTCCCAAGAAGAAACAGAGTAGAGAGTATTATCTAATATCAGGTTGTTACTGAAGTATTGATCCCTAGGTATAAGCAGGTTCACACCACTAAATATTGCAAAGTATCTTGTGTACTCTATCGAGTATAAGTACTGGCTTATTGGAGGAACAGTGTTAAGTGTTGGGTCACCATAAGTACCTCCATTAAAGAAAGTACTTGGTCCAACATGTGCCACAAATATTGGCTTATTTGATATAAGACTGCAGTAAGAAGTGTATGAAGTATTAAACTGATAGACTTGTCCAGAGGAAAGAGTGGCATTAACTGTAGGACTAGTGCCACATCTCCTTTGAATAATTGTTCCAGGCCTGTGGGCAATAATTTTATAGAACTGACCACTAGCCCTATTGTGATGAGGAGACAAGAGGAATTCTTTACCCCAAGTGATAGTAGGAGTGACTTGTGCTGCCATTGGATCACCACCAATAGCTCCAAGTGGAATTTGAGCAGCACTGTGTCCACTTATAACTGTCAATGGAGCGTCTGAAATTATTTTACTTCCAGAGATATCAGAAAAAGCTTGGTACATTCTTATGGTCTGTCCTGCATGTATGACAAATGTGTTGCTTTCTCCTACACGATATGTCTTATATGCACTGATTGGTGATTGTGGGTTAGCTGGCATTGTAATGTTAGCGTACTGATTTGGTACTATTGTGACATTGGTATTATTTTTGCACCCAACAAGAAGAATGTGTCCAGAAAAGTTATTGAGACCATGAGATGATACTGCATAATATACATATGAATTTGTGGGTTGAGTGTGGCATGGAAGCCCTAAAAACGAAAAGTAACCATAAGTACTCTCACTCCATGCAACAACAGATACAGGCTCAGCCTCAGGTGAGCTAATGTGCAAGCCCAATCTTCGATATGAATAAAAGGAAAACAGAACTTCATAAGTCAACGGTATAGCAACAACATCAGGATCTCCTGCAGTGGTTGTACCAGAGTAGCTAAAGTCTTGATTGAGAGACTCAATGCTGTATTGAACTGATGTATTCATGAGTGTGTGCACTGTTAGTGTCAGGTTTGTTGCTCCATTGACGTTCCTTGGAAATGCCAAATAGAATTCACTTCCATATGAGGAGAGGTTGCCTGTGCCTGCATGTAGTACAATAGCTTTAAGTTGATGGATGCATGCAAGACAAAAATTAAAACTTACCTTTGCATTGTTGAAGTAGAATAATAAATAGAAAAAAACAATATTCTTGGAATGCGCTTCATAATTTTCCAGTTCTACATGTATTTCCGAGTCTTGAAAGAACAATCAACTTCAATTTTTATGCACATCTGTGGGTACATTTAAAAGGCGTGGTCAAATTTTTATGAGATAAAATGGCGAGTCCTTGAGATGAGATTGCGTGTGATTGTCAAAGAAAAATAGAAAATAACTTTATATGGTTGCCTGGACATACCTTAAGAGTGGCCAAAACCAGTTAGTAAATATACTTTTAGTAACTGATGTAATTTTTTTCTATCCATATTTTTTCCATAATCGGTATGGGTACAAAACTTTGCGGGGATCATTAATTTTCACTATTTTCGTTGTCAGCTGGCACTAATTTTTGAAAATTCAACCTCACAAATTTCTTTATTTGACCACTTCCTAATTAGGCATGAGGCTATTATACCCAAAAATTTACCCGTTATGCTATTCCATTGTGCCTTTAATCTTTACCCATTATGCTCTTTATTACCGTATACCGGTTTATTTTTGTGGTAGAAATTTTTCACAAATTTTGTATTTCTAAGATTTTGCAGAATTAATTTTTGTAAATAGCTAATAGCTTGCAGACTGCACCATGTGGCAATTGAAATTCAGAATTTTGTAGTAGAAAAATTTCGCGACTGAGCAAGAAACCACGAAATTCAAGAAAATATTTCACCTCGAAAATAAACCGGTATACGGTATGCTTATGTTACATCACACAAGCATTGATTGAGTTGCATTTATTTTCATTTCTTCGATAATTGGCAGCCATTTTGGTTCTTTAACTATGTATTTCCATTATTTAACTATTTTTTATTACAAATTATTTATTTATTATTTTTTAAAATAATAAATTATTATTTTATTACTAATTATTATTAATTATTATTTTTAAATTATTTTATTTTTTATTCTGGCATAATGCTCCTCCAAAATTCTACCCATTATGCTCCTCCAAAATTCTACCCATTATGCCGGAAACAATGCCGGCATATTAGCTGCATCCCTATTCCTAATGGCTGCTTTAAAAAAAGAAAATGGGAAATTAAAACAGTGAATTTAATATTTCCCTAAAATTGTGAAAATTTAATGCCGTGATTATTTTTTGAGTATACTGACATGATGAGTGACATCAGCAGTGTAATAAAAATTGAGAATTTTCTCCTTTAAGATACCCTGTATATAGTACAGAGTCTTTTTGACAAATTTTTGAGCAAATTTTGCAAAAAAAATCTAAATCTAGTTTTGATTAGAATCAGTTGTAACAACATTACAATGCTATTTTTGGTCAAAAGTTTTTTCAAGTTTGTCAATATGTTTTTAACAAAATTATATCTACATGTACTTGCTTATTTATATTAAAAATAGATGCTATTACTATAATTATGCTAGTACATGTATTTAAAAGTGCTACAGCCTTGAAATTACTTAATGTTTTGTTCCTATAGTGTATTGATAATGAGAAACAGAATAAAATGTGACCATAATTGACAAAAGGTACCTTATGGCGGATAGGAAAATTGGTATTTATAGCCTAAAAAATCCAACTTTCTGAGCTCAATTTATCATAAAATTACTTCAGAGGATGCAAAAAGTTACTAAGTAACTTTTAGAAACAATAGATGTCTAACAGAACACTCACAGGTTGATATTTTTCATTATAATGATGAATATAAAGATCCACCATAAGGTACCTTTTGTCAATTATGGTCACAAATACTTCAAAGCCAAAAGTCAGTGATAGTAATAGTCATTGTGGTAATGATTGTTAGTTCTAACGATAATTATTTATTTTATTTTCTCTAGTCAAAGGGAACCTCTTGAGCTCAATTTAAAGTTTATACGATACAGCACATTTAGAAGTGGAAAAGAATAATTGTAGTGGTAAGAAAAAGAACTTGAGTTATGTAATATTTTTACAACCTTTGGCCCCTGGTCATTCTTAAGATTGTTTTCACCACATGTGATGAATAATTATGTATTTATATATACAGTGTGTGTGTGTCACACTTGCATGTACATTTTTTATACACATTGTATTGAAGAAATAACAATTAAGATGCCTTAGCAACCAACTCGCCTACTTTCTATATAAGCATTAGAGATATTCGTCTTAATAAGAATTCAACTGTGCATGCAAGATTGTGACAACAATCTTAGTTTACACTATACTATAATACGCTTGTTAAAAATATGGCCATAGCACAAAAAATTTTAGTCAGAATCAGCTCAAAGTTTGGGGCGATTTTGGAGCCATTTTTTGGAAGAAACCATGGGCTATATAGTACTGGGTATTATTCAGATTTTGGGCAATTTAAAAAATGGTCATCACTTTTATTTATTGTCAAAATCAGTTCAAAATTTCTACAGAGCATAAGGGCATCAATATGTATCTGAAAATGTAATAAAAACTTTGGGTGATTTTGGAGCCAAATTTCAGACAAAACCATGGGCTATAGTACAGGGTATTTTTCAAATTTTGGCCATTTTTTAAAAAATGGCCATAACTTGAAATTTACAGTTTGAATTAGCTTAAACTTTCTACAAGGCATAAGGACGTCAATACGTATCAGAAAAAGTAATAAAAGTTTTGGGTGATTCAATTTTCAAAAAAAAACCATGGGCAAGGTATTTTTCAGATTTTAGCCAATTTAAAAATATGGTCATAACTTTTAAAATTATGGTCAGAATCAGTTCAAAATTTTTACAGAACATAAGTACATCAATACAGCATTGAAGAATGTAATAAAAGTTGGGAATTTAATATTGTTATTATTATTCATATGTGTTAATTGGTGTCTATTAATTTGTTTGTGTGAGCGTTCACAGCTGTGCATTTGATTGTAGAGAAGTAGACATTAAACCAAGAGTCAATTTGTGTGCTACTGTTATCCAGAGCAATTGGACAGCCAGTACTTTGAAGTTCCTATAAAGACACAGCAGCTATTTTATAATACAAATTGTGGTGATTTTGGAGCCAAGGAAACCATAGGCCTTCACCTTTTTCAAAATTTTGCTATTTTTAAAAATGGCATTTCCTTGAAAAATTTTAGTTGAAATCAACTCAAACTTTTATAAAACCCAGTTATGCATGCAAAGTGGTGAAAACAATCTTAGGATATTTTTAAACTATAATAATTATGCTTGTTTTCTTTATTTAGGTCGTCAGCTGTGGCATTTTGAATAGTTTGCTTCTCCGACTGACTAAAGTCAGTTATTTTGGTTTGGATTTCCTCAATACATTTCTCACTACATTCCCTCTATTCACAACTCCACAGAATGTATTGGACTATCTTGTTAAAGTAAGAATACCGTACAGCTGGAAATAATACATGTACCCTATTATTTTCGTGGTAAAATATTTTCGCTAATTTCACGGTTTGTGATTAGTTGTAAAAAATTTTCACTGCGAAATTCTGCTCTCCATTGCCACGTGGTGCAGTCTGCAAGCAATTCATGAAAATTAATTCGGTGAAATCAGGAAAATAGCGAAAGAGAGAGTAAGAAAGACTGCTGCCACTCGCAGTTTGCAATGAGATGATGAATGAACCACACCTATTACCCAACCCTCCCCGTTCATAGATATTAACTGCATTTAACCAAACTGCTTAAACTTCAATCAAAAACGCAAATTTAAATCTGCAAAATAATAAGATTCATTGCTACCACAGTTCATTATGCCACAATAATTGTTAAAACTGCAAAAATTTAATCCGCAAGCCAAGATATTTTAAGGATTTGCAAAAATTTTTTTCCACAAATTAACCAGCTGTACGGTAATTTACACACTACACTTCAGTGAATTAAAGTGTTAAAATGTAGAATTTTATAATCTATTAATCCTACAAACTTACTTTAACAAAGTTTTAATTCCTACTGAATTAAGTGATCATTAATGTTTAATTATTTGATTTTTTATGAATAATAGCTAACAGTATGGCAATACATTCTAGTTCACAATCACATACTTTGGATGTGGGCAGTAGCTAAGCAGCAGAGTGATTTGTCCAGGACAAGAGTAATAGAGTTTCTTAGTTTCTTGTCAATCTTGCAATGGAGTGCTATCAACTGAACAATTTCCTGAGCACAATGCAACTAATGGGAGCTTGAGCACAGCACTGTACTGAGATTTAATAGCATATTTGAAGGTTTACCTAAAACAGTAAGGAAAACAGAGAGCAGAGAAAGAAAGAAAGAAAAGAGAGATGAGTTTTATAATATAATTGTATGAGAAATTGATGCACAAAATTTATTTGTTATAGTTAAAAGCTCATTTAAGATTACTTGGCAAGCTAGGCAGTACTGATGGACGCTATAAAGAACTTAAAGACGCCATCAGAAAGTAAATACTCTCACACTAGTACTGACACTATTACCTTCCTTATAGAGCCACGTCTCCTCTAATACCATATTTGGCATTGACTATGAGTGAGCTGGTGAATGTGTCCGAGAGTGCATCAAACTATATTGAAGGAGATTTGGTTAACTTTACTAAAATGAGAAGAGTAAGTACCAAGTATAACACTGATGTACATGTAGTTGTAGCATTGAAATGCATCTTTTATTGTGCATCATGCATGCATGTAATTTATGCCTGTAGTCTGTAATTTGATTTGTATAAATTATTATTTACTTTTCTACAGTACACAAGAATCATACACAGTCTTCTACAGCTCAGAAAGACCCTTATGATTTTAACTTTGATCCTGAAGTACATAAATATTATTTAATTTTCCAAATTTTTTTTTAACACTAATAGATATCTAAAGTTCTGCTGACAGCAGAGTTGCCAGGAGATGAGAATGCTCTTTATGAATATGTTGATGAGCTTAGAGACTGTCCTTTATCACCTTCTTCCTCATCCTCCTCTTCCTCTGAACAATAGATGAATGCATTATCATTGTAACACTTTATGTTCCTCAAACATGTTAACTTTATGCTGTCTTTTTTGTTTTATATTAATTTTTCACTTTTTATAATGAGCCCTATTCATAGTTTTTTTTATTTTCAATTACATATTTTGCAGCTACAATTAAAGGGTTTTAATCTCTTGCTATTCATAAATTGATTCTTCATAACTTAAATGTAGGTATGTACTGTCATGCACTGATTGATGTTAGTGAGGTAGTTGGCATTGTAACACATACTGGTAATAGCGATTTAGCGTACAGATTTGGTACCACCGTCACTATCCAACCATAGATACGACCTACAGTAGTATGTTTAGCCTAATAATTTTTATTGGTATACTAATATTACAATGCTAACTATCCCACAATCATCAATCCTTGCACAGTACATACACACCTAAAATTACATAGGTACCATCAAGAGTATCTAAGCCTACTCTTGTTACCAATAAAATGCACTAGACTAGATAGATCTAGGCGTGGTCAGCTTTATACATCATGATCATAGATAGTAGAGTATGCTCTATATAGATCTATCCCATGTTGCAACAATGTTATGATTGTTGCACTGCAACCACAACTATTAGGAACACAAATTTTTAATAAGATGCCAGGTGTTCTGCTCAGTTGAGGCCAACCATGCATGTAACTTTCAAGGGAGAGTAGAACTCCCACTGCCAGAAACAAATAACAGCTGCCTTTAACCTACATCATGCTGATTTTTCACTACCTGTTGAGCTTTATGGTCTTTTCATCAAATGGTCAAGTTGAACCTGATTGCCCTTTAAGTAAGAAAAAGAGAGTCTATTAAACTATTCATATTAAACCAAACTATTTACATGTAGAGTCGATCTGTTTAGGTCACAGCACTAACAGAGTATCTCAAAGTCAAGGAGACTCTGTATCCAGTATTCTTCAAGATGCGTATGAACAGTTTTGTGGTTGTCGGTACATTGAAGACAATATAGTTATTAGAACAGGCTCTGGTCTTGTTGATATAAGCCAGCCTCTAGTGGAAGCTAATTTCTCTTTCCTTTATTATGTAATAGAGATCAGTGGCTATCTTGAACTGAACAATATACCATCCATTGAAAGGCTCTCCCTGCCTAGGCTGAGACTCATACGTGGGAGGAATTTACGTTCTGGACGTTATAGCTTACTGGTGTCTGGAAGGATTGAAACTCTTTACATGCCCAGATTAACTGAGATCAGTCGAGGCGATGTGTTGTTAGGTAGCTCTAGTCTTAATTCTTACTTGTGTAATACAAGATCAATTAATTGGACTGATATTGCCCCTTTTCCTGTCAGTGGTCATCAATTCAGTGGGACAGATGGTTGCAGTGACATAGGTAAAATAATTTTTGTGAATTATTATTGTCATTGAAGTTATCATTTAGATATAATTGACTGTAATGCATTAGGATGCAGCTCAGGGTTTTGCTGGTGTAATGACACTGATTGCTGCCAAACATGTGAGGAAAAATTAACATTTTACTTTATCTAATTAATATATCTAATTAGTATCATTTAACTGCAATTGCAACAATAGTCGTTGTTTCAGAGATGGTCAAAACATACACTGTTGCCATCCAGAGTGTGTTGCTGGTTGCAGTGGATATGATAATAGTCAGTGTTTTGTATGTGATAAATACGTGTATGTTAATATTTTTGAGTCATATGCTCTAGGCTTGTAAGAATGTTTTGAATGTTGGCGCATGCCAAGAGAGGTGCCCTAATCAATTTATAATTAATCCTTTTACTCGAACTTTTATACCCAATCCGGAATTTAAACTTGAAGCTCAGCCACTTTGTGTTAGCTCTTGTCCAGGTAATATCTACTAACTATTATTAATCATTGCTTTTTTATTATTCTAAGATATGCTTTTTCAGGTCGATACCCAATGTGTTAAAAATTGTCCTTCTAATTATATGCCTGTTGCTAATAATGGAACTATGAGATGTGTTTTATGCAATGATACTTGTCCTAAAAGTAAAATTATATGCATAAGAGGTATGAATGAATTAATATTTAGAATGTACTGGTGGTGTATTTGATTATAATAATCCTGGAAAACTGACTGGATGTACTGTCATTACTACTGACTTGAGGATTTTAAGTGTACCTGTAAATGTTAAGTTAGTGTTATACATTGCAAAAATTTTATTGCAAAACCTTCTAGTCTATCAATATTGAATGATCTCAAGGACATTAGAGAGATACGTGGCTCACTGGATATTAGTGGCTTCAATAAAGAGACTTTTCCATACTTATCTAACTTGAAAACTGTTGGTAATGATTCCAGTCAAGTTTTATCACAGTCATGCAATGGATCAAGTGACTCAATTCAGTTTTCAATTATAATAGCTAATACTGATTTGGTTAGCATTGATCTCTCATCCCTTGAAGCTGTCATCAATGGTGGTATACAATTGGAGAATAATCCTTCTTTATGTTACCTTGGGAATTTGAGCTACTACCTGGCCAATGCATCATCATCATCTTGTGTGCTGGATAATCACAAAAGAAGTATTGATGAATGTGGTTAGTATTTGCATTTTGTGTAGCTTGTGAGTATTTGTTACCTGTTATGGTAATTTGTCTAAACATTTACTTGTATGCAGTATATGCAACAACAGGTTCTTGTATATAGTTTCCATATTGAATATCAATTGTTTAGTCTTTAGCTGTAAGTAATTGCACAGTATAGACTTTGGGTGACATTATTGTTATATAATTTTATTTGCTAATGGTCTTTATCTTTGGCTCTATATTTGCCTTGAGTATCACAATGGTGTAAGCATACTGTGTTACTGTGAACAATCTCATGTTAACATAACTACTTGATTTTTATTGTTACATAGTAAATTTCTATCTTTATTATAGTTGAAATGAACATGACATGTCATTCTCAATGTTCATCTGCTTCTGGTTGGTGCTGGGGACCTAATGATACTCAATGTGTGACTTGTACAAACTTCAGCTTTAATGGACAGTGTGTGCCAGATTGTCATAACTTTGATGCACATGGAATGTAAGGGTATCTATTGTATTGTGTATAATTACATTGCATGCTCATGGCTACATAATGCATTATATCGGGGGAACAAAAATCTATATGCTATCACACTTCATTCGTAATTTTTTACTACTGAGCACATAAGATAACATATGCAAATCTAATAATTATGTTTATGCCTTAAAAGTGGAGAACAATTGGGTAATGTATACCATTGTTTTGAACAAATTTTGAAACTATTTTTAAAATTTTAGAGAATCACATTACACAAGAACATGCATGCATAATAAAAATGGATAATTTTAGTATTAAAGTATAATGAGCTCTATGCAAAGAGCATGCATATATAACAGAAACTTAATTGCATAAAAGCAATAATAATTGCGTATATTAAAACTTCATGTAGACTAGCTATGATGTTGGGACTTTAGGTTTTAAATTTGGACTTTTATTTACTTCTAAATTCTGTCCTTTTTACTTTGCTTTTTCTCCTTCAGTCACTTATTTAATCATAATGCTAACAATACTTGTTTACTTTGTCACTCATTTTGTAATGGTTCATGTGTTGGAGAGGTATGGAATGGCTATTCATTCATTTTATTAATAGTAAGAATGTACAGGGTCCTGCCAACTGTAGTATCTGTAATACTGATTTCTTTGTGAATGTAAGTATTGGAGTAGGCATAGAGTGTCTGGAGTCATGTGTGGGTGACACTTATTTACCTGATGATCGCACTAGTGGTGAGTATGAATATGAAGTGCATATTGCAATTAATGTTCTTCAGGTGAATGCCTGCCTTGTTTTAATGGTTGTACTCTTGGTAATGGCTGTGCTGGCCCAGGAAAGACATTCAATGACAGTAATGGCTGTAGTGCATGTGATACCATTTTACTTAATTTAAATGGAGAACAAGTGAATGACTTATAAATTTTTATATAACTTTTTGTATTGGATGTAGATTAAGTGTCAGAGGAATGTAACCTGCCCTTCTGGCTATTATCGTGAACAGTTGTTAGAGGATCGTGGCATTTTTCTTACTGGTACTGTTTTGTGTCATTCCTGTCATGAGCTTTGTGCAACATGCAGTGGGCCTTCAGTTAGTGATTGTGTTCTATGCTCATATA